TCTTGAAAGAAGAAAGAAGTTGTTTGTGTGGCACATGTCCACCTGAGGATTATCACTCTGAAGCAGGAACACCTTTGCTCCAGCCTCTTTGCTGGGAGAAGTTTATTTTTAATGATAGTGAAGAAAAACACAAATGTCAATCTATGAAGCTGCCTAATCTTAATCATTCTATCACCTGACATTTTCAACCGGCAGAAACCTTTCACAAAGCTGAAATACTGTTTTGGATTTTTTTATTTTTTTTATTTTTTTGCAAGCCAGCAGATCACAAACTCTTCAGAGCTGTCTCCTGTCACTCAAGCAGCCTGTTCCCAGAACACCAGTCCAACCAGGGCCTCAGTTGCTTTGGGGGGCTGCAAAAGCCCATAGAAGGAAGGCCAGGACTTGGCTTGCAAGTACATTTCCAAATAAAGTGGCAGACGAGCGCCGAGGTTGCTTTCCCAGTGGCATAATAAAAAATAAAAAACTGGGGATGTCAGTTCCACGGCTGACTAAGCTTTCGTAGCATTTTACAGATGAAACTGCGGACTCATGTTCTCAAAGATCACTACCTAAGCTATAAAGAGGCTATACAGGATTCAACTACTCTCAGATTTTCGGTCTGACAGCAAAAATGATGTTTTTTGACAGCATGATTCTCCCTCCTTTTTTTTTGCCACAGTAACAGCAAAATGGGTACATTAAGCCTCCACAATGGTAAATGTGGCCATCTTGCTTTTCAAACACCCCTCCCTGTGAAAACCAGCATAAAAAGAACAAAAATGTCCGTGCAATCCATTCCGGAGGGGAAAAACACCTTAAATGTGCTACAGCCCCCCGTTGTAAAAAATTTAAAAAGTTGTTGATCACTGTAGGCCCAAGCATCTTACTCCCTGCTTTATTACATGTAAGATCACATTTACTTGTTGACTGGAATGGTAATTTACTCTGCAGTACTGTGCTCTGTATTGCCTTCTGACTGATTACAACATTTGTTCCAGAGGGTAATTTGAACTCAAAACTCTGGAGTGCATGCACTAAGCTCTTTCTCAGATTAGGGGCTATACCATAACTTCCTGCTTTGTGACAGAAGGTGCATCCAGCAATGCTGTTGTATCATGGGAATGAGCAAGCCATGTTTTTAGGTTTTGTTTTTGTTTGGAAGGTTAAGAAGTTAAGCTGATGCCTTATATCTTACTAAAGCTTAAGCTATCCCTTTACCTCATCACAATGAGAAAACTCAAACCAAGGGTTTTTAAGGGATGCAAATGGGTGCCTTAAGCCTCTGCAATTCAGGTTTGTTACCTGCTTTCCTGGGACAAATGGCAACATGATTCTTTATCTTTCCTCTTGTTGGAACATTAAACCCATCGTGCCTAAGAATACCTACCTTATAGTTTAGTAACTTTTCCCCTACAATTTCTCTGGAGGATCCTATTAGCTGGTTTTCACTAACAGCTTGTTTTACAAGGTAAGGCTTGAAGGTTTGTTCTTTCCAAATCCTTTGGGCAGAAGTTACTCTTTCTAAATCTGCAGAAAATATCTCTAAAGGGCAGATTTTGGGTCTTTCTGGGAGCAAGATTTCTTTGCATTATCATTTTGCATTCTTTCTGGGCAAAAGTTAGTCCTAAAGGGGAAAAATAGCTGAGTTGTGGGCCTCTCCGGGTAAGCCAGTAGCCTTGGAAAGAAAAGCTTGAAGATCAATACAATCACAGACTTATTATTTGACATAAAGAGAAGAATCTTAAAAATCATCTTTAGGTGAACTGTGAATGGGTTTCCATTAAAAAAAAAAAAAATTCAGCTTAGGAAAGTTGGTCCTCGAGATAGAAGGAACTGACAAAGGAAAAATAATGATCTCTCTAAAATTTTACTTCATTTACTGTATTCTGGGAAACTGCATTTTATTAGAACATGCCTCTGGGTACCTTGGAGAATGTCTATATACTTAACACTTTGCCTAAGTATTTAACCAAGATTTTCTCTGTCGAGAGAAACAATTTGGCATTTCTTCTGCAATATAAATAGACCTTTAGATAATACACAGACACATTTGATGTTTCCTGCAATTAGTTTACACAATATTGCAATATGCAACACTAAGTAAATAAACCACAACTAGTTGTATTTGAATAACACAGTAAATTGTAAATTGAGGTTTCAGTTACAGTAACTGGGTTCATACAACATACGGAGCTTCAAACAAGCAGACTATATTTTGGTGTAACATGTTATGTATATTAGCATGAAATTTACAATTCAGCTGTAGTTGAGGTTCCAAAATAAAATGCAGTTTATTATACATTTAAGAAACTTAAATGAGAACTCTGCTCATGCACACATATTCAATCTAATAAGGGGCTTCTCTATAGCAATCTGTATTTTTAAATAAGGAAGATCATCCAAATCATGAATAATTACAGTGTGATCTTGCAGGCAGAATACATGATTTTTAAGGCCATCTTAGACAAAATAAGCAGAATTATGGAATAAAATCTATCAGCAGTGCTTGCCAGTTTGTCAGAAAAGTTATAAGAAATTCAGCCTTCAGAGTTTGTCTTATTTCCCACTTTCCTTTGAAAGAGGCACTATTTGGAGCAATAAAGAGAAATGTTTACAGTATGGTAAACGTATTTCCTACATCATTTATTCTGCAGGGCCTTTTGTCCTGGAATACACCATTGCTGAGATCCAGAGTAGGATATGAAACAAGAATTTTAGCTGAGATAGCAATACTGAATTATGGGTTCAGTAAAACTAACAAAAGATATGCTGTACATTGCCTATAAACCAAGCGACATTGGAAACCTTTTTCCTAGTCTACCGTAACTCCTAGACAGAATGATTACTGTGCTAAATTAATATAATGCGGTGATAGAAATATTCTTAATGTTATTATAAGAGATAAGCATGTATTTAGAAAAACAAATTTGGAAGATTGATTACAAAGTGTGGAGTGACCTAGAACTTTCACACATGCTATTTCCTATGATTAAAATAGAAGATTTCCATTGCTACAGGGACTTGCTGATTAGGAATTTGTTCAGTGTTGAAATATGTGGCCAGTTATTGTTTTTTTTTAGCAATATTAAAGAGGGAGAGAGGAAAAAGGTATGGTATTCTTTTTTATTTTCATTGCTATCTGTGCCTTATTCTGTGGCTATTTGTCCCCCCTTTTTTTCTCAGAATAAAAGAATATATGCTCCCCAATATACAAACTTCAAACCCAGTGCAGAATGGAGCGGAGTCTTTTTTAAAGTCAGGGTGAGAGATATCTGTGACTTACTGAGTCTCCATCCTCCACAAAGCACTGTTTCTAATGTACAGTTCAGCACATACAGGTTCTACAACAAATTGAACTTCTTTATTTTGATAAAGAGCAATGTTTAAATTATACTAGATGCTTTACTTAATCCTTCCTCATACATTCAGCCCTCCTGGCAATCATTAGTAGTAGCTTTTCTTTTTTAGAGTGTGTAAATAATGGTAGTTAACATATGGTGGGGTTGGGGGTGTGAGAGAGAAAAACATCTTTTGATCTTGTCAGCGATAGATTTGAAAAATGTAGATTGGATCCAAGACTTCATCTTACTTTAATAAAGCAACTGAAGTCTTCGGAACTGCAAATCATGACTAAATCAGTGTTCTGATTAGCTCTGTTTCTCCATCTCATCCCAGTCTGGCAAGTCTGCGCAGCCACCTAAGTGCTGCCTAGATGATGGCCAATAAGCTGAATCCCAGCAAAGAGTCTTGCCTGGGAATTACGGAAGGTCCTGGTGATGCATGGGGGTACAAGTTCAAAGCCTTCAAAGCTATGGAGGCACAGCTGGCTTCCATAGCAAGGAAAACTTTTTTCCAGCTCTGATCGCTCATGGCTGTGGCTGGTCCTGGACAAGACAGGAGCATAGCTACTAAGGCAGTGCATACTTCAGTAATGCTTGGAATAAATCCTTTGGGCTTCACACAGGTGCATCATCTTTGTGGTATTCCTTAAAGCAGCCCATCTTTTGCCAGTTCTTGAAAGAGAAAAAGCCAATTGCCAATCCCATTAAAATCTATGTGATTCTTAAAGCAACAGCTACTTTTATTTCAGGCTCACTCAGATGCCTGGAAAAAAAAAACAGATGGACTGCTTTGATGAATAAATGAGAGGTGACATGCTTGCACAAGGTCTGAAGAATTTCATCTAAATAATTTCTGAAGTGTGCAGAGCCTTAGTGGCTACAGTCAAGATAAGACTTGCAATGTGCACATGTGGGCTGCAAAGCTGCAACCACATAGGTAGAGTGCTGAAGGGGAGCAATCTCCTGTAAACATATATACCCGCTCTGAAAGAGTAGCGCTGATTGTCAGTGTGCTGCTATGTTCCAAGTGTCCATGCTGGCATAGAGAGTTTTACCCAGCTAGGCCCCTGGATGCTGGTGGCTTGCATTCTTTCTTACACAGTGCCCAGGCATTAAGGTCTGATGGGGATGCCCACTGGATGGTGTGACATTTGCCAGGAATTCCCTAGGCAACAACCTGTTTTCTTTACAAGCATCCAGGTATGGGATTCCCTTTTTGATGTTTACAACTGGAGCCAAGTCTTGAAAAGATCCAGCACCAACTAAAAATGCTCATCCAGGTTTTAACTGAATATATGCTATCTTTTTTGTTATGATGGTTCTTGTTATACTGATTTAGTATATTAGCAGCTTTATTATTTTAACCCTATTTTATGTTCCTACCTTCAGATTAACCAGATAAACTTCTCTTCTTGAAATCAGTATTCTACTTCATTTAAGCCTGAATACAATCCAGTATTGATCCATTATTGCTTTGCATGTATTTTCTGTTTCCTTGATTATGAATATGAGCAGTTCTGGACTATAATGATTATAGTATTAATTATACTGTTTTAAATTCTTGTACTCAGAAGTAATGAACTCCATCAAATGAGATGGGCATCACATCATGCTTGTGAATGAATTTCTGTTTACTCTTTGGTTTAATATTCCAAAATGCTTTGTTTCTCTCTACAGCTAGCACAGAAATATGATCCCCAGCGGGAACATGAACTGCGACAATGGATTGAGGAAGTAACAGGGAAGCGCATTGGAGACAGCTTCATGGAAAGTCTGAAAGATGGAGTCATCCTGTGCGAGTAAGACAACACAGAGGGAGGGGGAAGCCTACTCTGCAAAGACTGAGGGTGGACAAAGGAGGCTTAGTGCCAGTTTAGACACTAGTATTAGGTAGCCCACAAAGGACTTGAAATAGTATGCTTAACCTATTAAGAAAAGGAAATGCTTGCTCTCTTCCCCCTGGTTTCACAGCATTACCTCTTTTAACTCACATTTTTTTAATCACCATCTTTTTATAGATGGGCATTTTCAGATATATGGGAAAGAAGAAATAATGCATCTCCTTTTTTAAAGAAAAAGTATGTAAATGATTGTTTGGGGGTGGGACATTAGGTTTACAGCCCATCCTATGCCAAGGGCTCAATAGTTTTGCCAAAGACAACAAATGACTTATAATATAGATAATTTGAAAAGAAACTTGGATAATACAAGATTTAACAAAGTAAATACTTAGTAAAAGTTACTCTGAAAGGGGATAAAGAAGCCTGATGGCTCCCCTGTACTCATATTCTTGATCCCTAAATATCTTCCCCAAATCCCAAGTAATGGAATTAAGGATGCTTTAAATTTAAGACAGAGGATTGAAGCACATCGCTTTTGGTGGCTTAGACATAATGAAATGCATCAAGGATGGATTTTTTTTTCTGGTTATTTGGCAATTCTATTTACCATCTCAGCCAACTGGCAGAAAAGCAGACGTACCACTGTTTTCCATTATATTGCATTTGTTTTTATTACTATGAATATTAAACAATTTAAACATTACCAGTATTTGTATATACAGGTCTAAGAATGTAACGCCAGCTCTTTATGTTCAAAGCAACCTTAAAATATTTGTAGTATCACTGAACAGAGATCCAACCTTGTCCTCTAATTTTTTTCTTTGTTCAATTAAAAAAAAATATTTTTATCTGTATAAAAGAATTGCTCCCTGGGCATTATTATCTAACTTATCCACCCTTGCTAGATGTGTAAATAGCCAACTTCTGTTCCTCCACATTCTCTCTCTCACACACACTTATGTGCAGGTTAATGACAATAAAGTAATTCATTCATCTCTCCCCCTCTCTCTCTCTCTCTCACACACACACACACATACATGTATGTTTGTGTGTGTGTATGTGTAGGTATATATATATAATGGCTTTCCTTGTCCTTTGTAATTTGTACTTTTGTCTTCCATTAATATTTCTGTTCAATCTCCCCTTGGTTCCATCAAGAATCAGGACTGATAAAATCTTCTAAGCTGTGCTTTTTTGGAGACCAATTAATGAGGAGCTTGGAGAATAATAGATTTCTACTTGTTTGCAGCTTTTAATATACTTAATTTATAGTGAATGCCTGGGGTTTTTAAAACTGAGATTACTGATCTACACTGTGTCGTTTTTTGAAGATGGAAAAATAGTACAGCAATTTTCTTCTGACTGACCAGTTCTAGCAAGCACTCATAAGTATTTTTGTTTAGATAGAGATAACCTTTCAGCAGAAAAAAGCATGCATATTGCCATTTCTGAATGACATGGTATTCTTGCATCAAAGTAAATGCACAAAAGGAAGTCTATATTAATGAAGAAGAAATAAAGTACTGTACCCAGACACCTTGGGATAAAACTCCCCTCTCCCCTTCTCTTTCAGACTTATCAACAAACTCCAACCTGGATCTGTGAGGAAAATAAATGAGTCCACCCAAAACTGGCATCAGGTACCATCCTCTCTTATCTGTCACTAATTCATGTTAGTCTCTCAAAATTTCAAAATTCTGACTTTGAAAGTGGGGCAAAAAATAAGCCAGATTCTACATGACAAGTTTTCTACAGCCATCTGTAGATGTTAAATTCTTCCTCCTTGAAACCTGCCTGAATGTCCAGACTAATATTACCTTTATATTATTATGAAACTTTTACTAAGGTTCATGAAAGAGTTTAACATTATGGCAGTATGAAATAGCTGAGCTTTTCTCTTTGCTACATAGCTGTTTGCTACAACAGTAATGAATTGGCAATTCAGTCAAAGAAATGTCTCAACTAAAATAAAAAGAGTTAAAGAAGAAGTGAGCTATTAACAAATACAAATGTACTGGACAGAAATAAATAACCACATTCTATTTCAAAGCCTAGTGAGCAAAAATCTGCAACCCGATACTGTGGGAGGAAGACTGGCGGACAGGGAAGGATGCATTTGGGAGTATGAAGACTGGTCAATGAGGAAAGACCTGAACTCTTTTCTCTGCTTCTTTGATCCAACTGCTCCTTCTCAAAAGCAGCTCTTGCCTCCAGAGTTCTGCTATACATGTTGATGTGCAAGTGCAAGTTGGTGTGGCTGTTTAGAGGCACAGGGCAATTACCAAACAAGGCACAAGAATACCATTCACCTTTCTACCTTCCCATTTTTTTACTAGCTGCCACAATTTTTTCCCCCTTGAGCTAAAAATGAACTTTGAGATAGTACTAAACCAGTCTTCCCCACCTTGATGCTCTCCAGACATGCTGGAGGATACCATATTGGAGAAGACTGCCTTAGACCTTTAAATGCCGCCATCCACTTGTTAGGGGAACCAATATAAAGGAAACCATTACCTGAAAAAGGCTCAGTAAATGATTAGTTGACTTTCCTGTTTTGCAGCTGGAAAACATTGGCAACTTTATTAAGGCTATCACAAGATATGGAGTGAAACCCCATGACATTTTTGAAGCTAATGATCTCTTTGAAAATACAAACCACACCCAGGTCCAGTCGACCCTGATTGCTTTGGCTAGCATGGTAAGCAGTTTTTGCCCATTTTTTTCTTTATGAAACCTGTATGATAGTGTGAAAGTGTTTCAAAGGTATTACCCCAATAATCTAATACGGGATAACATGATCACCGTATTGCAAATGTGGGGGGAGGCCAAGAGAACAGTGTGGCCTAAGTTTACATTTAAAATGAGAGTCTTATAGCTAACTCTTCACTGCTAGAAGAAAAAGCCTGTATACTGCCCTTGATGTCCAATATTGTTTACTGGTCTATATCTGTTTCTCCAGAGGAGCTATGCTGATGGGCAGGAGAAGCCTCGTTTCAGTATATACAGCTAATTTCTACCAAGACTCCTTCCCAGAATTTTAAATGTCAACAGTAAGACCTGAACTATAGAAGGGCTAAGAGCAAATATAGAATCTTTTTCCTTTGCACTGCCATAAGCTCAGCCTAATCTTAAACACTCAGAACAAAGGTACTGAGATTTCACATTGGACATCACGGAAATGATATCTCAAGGAAATCATTTGCAGAGTTAAATGCTGAGCCCAGGGTTTTTGATCCAATTTGGAGTGCAATAAGCCAGGAGATTTAAGGCCGGGAGGGGGGTTAGGGGGGAACCTCCCGTTGCTCTCTACTCAAATGCAAATCAGGATCTGCCTCGTTCTGGGCAAAATACTGAAGGGAAACATCTGATCGGATTTCTGATGCTTGTCACACTATAGGCCAAGACAAAAGGCAACAAGGTGAATATGGGAGTGAAATATGCTGAAAAACATCAGCGGAAATTCCTGCCTGAAAAGCTGAAAGAAGGAAGGAACATCATTGGACTGCAGGTGTGTGGCTTCAGTCACAGCAATTGTTTCCCCAAGATACAGATATTTTTATCACTGTCTGTATGGAATCATTTAGGATACCTTGCTATACATTCAAAATTAGAGTTTCTTTGTGCAAATGTGAACTGTGGCCAAATATATAATTAATGTGGCACTTCCACATGAGCACTTTCATCCTTCTGCCCAAACTTTCTGAAACAGTTTGAGATTGATCTGCAATGTTTCTCACCATAGTCAACCTTGAAATACTGAGAACCAGACAATGCTTCCTCCAGCCAACTAACTGCAGAGGAGACAAAATGGTGCCAAACCAGCATGCCTGCTATTCTTAGCTCATTAGATGCCAGACTAATACAGCAAGATGCACACATACGGATGAGCCAGGTGTGCATTAGGCAGTCAAAAATGCTGATGAGAACCATGAACAAAACACTGAAAGTTGTAGGGGGGAGAGGAGCAATAGAAATTCCCTCTGTCCCATCTTACACAGCAGGGAAAGAAAATATACTCTTAGCAGCCCAATTTCCCCTCCCAAATAGACACATCCAGGAGGCTGTTGCTGGAAAAAACAAAAACAAAACAAATCAACCCCAAGCAGCAGCAGGGATGCTTTGCAACCCATTACTTAGGGAAGAGAAGAAGAAAACAGGTATTTTTGTCAATTTCACCTGAGCTCTTTTCATTGGGCTACTGTGTGCAGGGAACAAAAACAATTTACTGTAAACTGGAATCAGTAGAGTGATGTGTTTTTGTTCAGTGATATGCACCAAAAATATAGGAGCAGTTGCTGTGAAGATATGCCTGTAAAGCTCTTAAGTCACTTCTGTTTAAGGGCCTATTGAGTGCTAGTGGTATCTGCAGGATCGAACTGCTTTTGTTAAATTGATGAAAGCAACTGTAGGCTCCACCTCTTTGAGACACGCATGCAACATTGCAATGCATGTCAAAAGGAATGGGGTTGCAACATGATGCTACTTTCATCACTGTGACCCCACCTTGACTCCACTCTAGATGCCATTGATGCTATGCCAGCTGAAGCCTGGAGCTGGTATAAGGCAAGAATTTCTGTCAACAGACCTGAAAACAGATCACTCACAAACTCTTCAGAGCTTCATCATTGGAAACATAATAGCATTTTACGCTACAGCTGAGCTAGAAATTAACAGGCTCAGCTGGTGGATGAACACAGCAGCGTAGGAGATTCAGTTCTGGAAAGAATTCAGAAATGGTGTAAAGACTGTGTGTGAAGTGCCCTCACTTCCATTTTATTCGATCCCTGACCATTCCCCATGCATTTCACTAATACTGGCATCTTGTCGTCTTTCTACATATTTATATTTGCCAATATGATTTTTGTCAGATTGTTCCCCAAAAACGATCTCTAGGAATGTCATTAGTGTTTTGAACTGAGTTTTTCTGCAGTATTACAAGCACTGCTGAATAGGTAACGGAAACAGAAGACAGACATAAAAAGGGCCAGTTCTTCACTTGTAATTTACAGTGACACTATAAAGCTATCTTCATATGGAGTGTTTTGATACCATAGTCATGGCTGAGTGATGTTGTAAGATAATATAAATCATTAGTGAGAAGATGGCCCTGGAAAAGTCTACGTGACAGAATGAAGCGGAAGCTTTCAACTTATTCCTGAAACAGAAACTTGGCAAAGACAGAATGATGGGTCTAACTGTCAATACTGCATTCTTCTTAGATGGGCACCAACAAGTTTGCCAGCCAGCAAGGCATGACAGCATATGGCACGCGTCGACACCTCTATGACCCAAAGTTGGGCACAGACCAACCTCTAGATCAGGCCACAATCAGTCTACAAATGGGAACCAACAAGGGGGCTAGCCAGGTAAGAAATCTGAATGGAGAAAATGGATTACTGAGATGATTTTGATACTCTTACCTCTATTCTTTCCTTCATTCCTCCACCAGAACACCAACAATTTATTGACTAGCAGAATTACTATGACTGCAGAGTGTAGCAGACACATGGCTTCCATTATAGCACAGTTTCCATGGAGAAACAAAGGAGATGGTGAAAATCTTAAGAAAAGTCTGAGATAGAATGAAGTCAGTTTCTGTATATATGGAAACTTACTTAGATAATACTAGGCTCTTCAGATTTGAAGACAAACGGGTGCTTCAGAGGCATGGCTCCTGTTTGTAACTCTCAAACCAAATGAGTCTCTTCCATGCAGCAACTCCAGTGTGGCTACTTTAAGAAGTCAGAGATAGGCGCTA